TTAATCTGAAAAGACAAATTTTACATAGTCTTAAAACAAAAGTTTGATAAAATTGTAGTTGTATTTCCCCAAATTTTAAAATTGAAACGAAAAACTGTGTAAATACTAACGAGCTGCATTCTAGTCATGTATCAAATCTAAAATCTAATCAAATTTAGTGATTGTATTCGAGAACTTCCATTTTAAGATATTTTAGTACCCTACCCGCTCGATTTCTTATCCAGAACATAGTGCTTACAATAAACAGAACCGAGCAGAATTATGTCAATACCCGAAAAGTGTTAGCTGGTTGGGGGAATTCTTCCATCCTTGCTGGGCAATCAAATCCAATTGAGAGCATAAAGTAGCAACTAATATGGTTAAACATCAGGGGCATTTCAGCATGGGGTTGACGTTTGACTGACTGCCACGCCCTCTGCGCATGTCCAAGTGCCCGTGAGTGGGCGGAATTGGGAAAAGATTGGATTGAATTGGGGTGGATGTGGATGTAGATGTGGATGTGGATGCGGATGGAAATGCACTTAACAATGGAAAAATAATTGCGGGTTTTCAGCCAGCCATTTTAGTGAGAAACTCATTGTCAAGTGTGGGAGTTAAATGTTACAAATTGATTGGTAATTATGTGTTAACAGGAATGCCAACTTAAAAAACTTACTACTTGAAGGTATGAAATATATGAAATTCAATTTCATAAAACAATCAAATTTAAATTCTTACTAAAATTGTTAGAAATCATTCATCCTTAGATACAAAAACCTCCTTAAATACATCTTTCATTCAATAATCTTTAACTTACACCATATTGTTAACTTTAGTTCTGTTTGTTATGCCGTTAATTTATAATAATTTTATTAATCTTATTTCAGGTTTACCTATCACTACATTCCCCACTGTAAAATCGTTTATTGACGTAATGGAAACAAAGTGCAAAAACTTTTCCCAAATCTGTTTTGAAATTAATAACAATGTAATTACAATCTTATAAATATATACTTCTATAAAATATGTATGAATTTGTTTGTGTGATTTGTTTTATGCTCAAATTGGTAGACACACTCTAATCGGACGAAAATTAACTAAAAGTCGGGAGATTGCCATCAAATAAAATACAATCTGAGGTCGACGCAATGACAAGGCATAGTCCATTCGGCCTTTGGTGTTTTCTAAACGAATGAATACATACTTTAATAGGTATTACTTTACGGCTTATCTTATAATTGATAGGGTCAATAGAAAACAAACTGCTGGAGGCGAGCCTCCCTCGATTAGAATGTGTTGGTAATAAAAATCACACTTTCCACTTAGTACCGTAGATCCATTTAATTTTTAGACTCGAGGGCTCTATTAAACTGTAACACATATTGTACTAAAGGAAAACAACAACACATATTTATCTTTATCTCTTTAAAGGCATTTTAAAAACATTAAGAACATATACTTAAATTTTAGAAAACGGATTTTAGTGAACATATTTTTTTTTTGTAATTGACTATGCTTATCTCATTTTACACAAAACAAAATGGTATGCTCCCAACTGCTTACTCTCTTAATTTAGTTTTTTTTTGACTCCCTCTTCATTTTTTCAAACCATATGTCTGCAGTTTATGCTCCCCATTTGCACTCTCTTTTACTTCGACACTCTCTTCTATATACTTTTTCTGTATGTATGTATGTTATTTACATGCTATCAGTCGTTGAAAACAAAACAAAAAGTATGAGAAACAAAGTGACCGAGTTTCGAATACCCTACCATTTTTTGGTAAAGCGAAAAAACAACTTTTATGGAGCGTTATTAGAACTGAAATATTTAGACTTATTTACTCGTAAGTTATATTTATATTATCATTTATGTTTGTATGTAGTGAAGGAATAAGATTTCACATTTTGTTCCTTTAATGTTAATGTGAACAGGATTAAAAAGCTTAGTAATGTTTGGGTGGTAGGGTGAACTGCTAGCCTGATCGACAAAGTGTATATACTCTGTGAAAGGGCGTGGCAAACAGTGACGTTTCGCTGCCTTTTTTCCGCTGTCGTCGTGGCCGTGGATGTGGACTAAAGCCAACAGTCTCTTTAGTTCATCCGTCGACCGCGGATCGTTGTTTTGTTTGCCAGTCTTTCCCCGTTTTGTTGTAAGTGAAAGTGCATTGCGGTAGCTCTTGAGTTCTTTGAAGCTCCACAAATGTTGAGGGTCATAGTAGTGTTAAGGACAAGTCTGAAAGTCATTTAATTCTGTTTGATATACTAGATGAACTACAAGATATTTCTCTATAGATACTCTGTGTTTGCTTATACTCTATGCGTTGGTATATATATTCAGCTAATCGGTCGCTACTCGGAGACGTTCCAAAAATAAATAAGGGGGCACGTGTCCATGTATAAAATCGACCGGCAGAAATATTATTTTGCGGTTCCGGTTCTATATATTTTTCCATGATACATTTGTAGAACAAACAGGTTATCAGCTAGTCAAAAACAAAACAACAACGAAAAACCACACAACCACACAAAAAAACAAACACGCATACCCAGAGTGACAAGTTTTTGATAGTGATTTTTTATGCAACAAGCCCCCCAAAAAAAAAAAAAAAAAACCAGTAGAGATAGTGGTCGGCAGAGGGTCACCCATTTGACCTTCCCATAGGAAGACACACAGACCCTTGCCACTATATAATTGGTAATTGTTTTTATTTTGATGGATCCCCACAGGAACCGCATCATTTAGAAAGCGTACATACAATATAACCAATAATGGCGGCCAGTAACGGTGATTGTAAGTGAAGTTGCCTTCTGCTTCCTGCTCCTTAAATGTTGCCTGGCTCCTTTCGTTTATAATATTAATTTTTCCAATTTTTCCACACTATATAAAACCCGCCTGCACCTTCCCCAATTTGCAATGCGCCCGAACTTGTTTCTCTGCCCAGAAATATTTATAACCTGTTGCTAAGCCCAAAATTATACCCATAGCTGCATCGCACAATTCCTTTTGTTTTAATTCCTTCTAAAATCCTTTTCTGTACATAATAATATTTATGAACGTTTATGTAAACTTTTGAACTTTGTAAATTTTACAAAAAAATTGATAAGGAAGTTATAGTTCACATAAACTATGTTAAATATATTCGTTTCTTTTTAATTTATTCCTAATTCATATGTTAATACTAGTCCGTATATTGCCGAAGATAACCCCCATTTAATTTTTTTCATTATAAATTTTCTAATAGCCAAAATGAGCCAGCAGGGGCCAGCTTTTGACTCGAATGCGATGACGCTGACGCGTTTCGTGTTGCAGGAGCAGCGTAAGTTTAGGAACGCCACCGGAGATCTGTCCCAGCTGCTCAACTGCATCCAGACGGCGATCAAGGCGACTGCCTCGGCAGTCCGGAAGGCAGGAATCGCCAAGCTCCATGGAATCGCCGGTGACGTGAATGTCCAGGGTGAGGAAGTGAAGAAACTGGATGTGCTCTCCAACGAACTGTTCATCAACATGCTGAAGTCCTCCTACACAACCTGCCTGATGGTTTCCGAGGAGAACGAGAAAGTGATCGAGGTGGAAGTGGAGAAACAGGTAAAATTTACATACATAAATTATAATCGACAAAATAATAATGATGCTTTTGTTTAAAGTATCGATAGTATTATTCTAACTTATACACATATTTTAAAAGATTATATTAATTCAGAAAACGATTTGTATAACGTATATTTTAAACAGTTCTTAATATGGTTTTCATTTTCAGGGCAAATACATTGTGTCTTTCGATCCGCTGGACGGATCCTCCAACATAGACTGTCTGGTGTCGATCGGTTCGATCTTCGCCATATATCGCAAGAAGAGCGATGGTCCGCCCACCGTCGAGGATGCACTGCAGCCGGGTAATCAACTGGTGGCCGCCGGATATGCGCTCTACGGCTCGGCGACGGCGATTGTCTTGGGCCTGGGATCCGGAGTAAATGGCTTCACCTACGATCCGGCCATCGGAGAGTTCATCCTGACCGATCCCAATATGCGGGTGCCGGAGAAGGGCAAAATCTACTCGATCAACGAGGGCTATGCCAGCGACTGGGAGGCGGGCGTGTTCAACTACATTGCGGCCAAGAAGGATCCCAGCAAGGGCAAACCGTACGGAGCCCGGTACGTGGGTTCCATGGTCGCCGATGTCCATCGCACCATCAAGTACGGCGGTATCTTCATCTACCCGGCCACCAAGTCCGCTCCAAATGGCAAACTTCGCCTGCTCTACGAGTGCAATCCGATGGCCTATCTGATGATCCAGGCTGGCGGATTGGCCAGCGATGGAAAAATCAGCATTTTGGACATTGTGCCCCAGAAGATTCACGAACGTAGTCCCATCTTCCTGGGTTCCAAGGCCGATGTGGAGGAGGCGCTCAGCTACTTGAAGTGATTTTTGTAATTTGTGTAGTTTATCAATAAAGAAACTTTCTATTTTTTAATAAGAAATAAGAATTCCCTTTTCGTCCTGCCCCTTAAAGTATGCACATAAAAGTTGGTAGAAGCTGTAGCCAATTTTACCAAATAATTCCCAAACAGTTCTAGCTGCATTTGAATGAAGTGCTTTGATTAGGGCTAATTAAGTTATCGCTTCTCGGCCTTATGGCTAAGATCAAAGTGTAGTATCTGTTCTTATCAGCTTAACATCTGATAGTTCCTCCATTGGAGGACAACAAATGTTAAACTGATTTTTGGAATCAAACGGAGTGCTAGGGGCTTGCTCCACCTCTGTCACGGGTTGGCCCGGTATTGCAGTACCACCGGGATTTCGGCCCAACTTGAAAATATATTTTAAAGTTTTTCTTATTAGCTACGTCTCAAAATCTACCATTATAAGCCTCTTTCCCGTTTACGTCGTCGAATTGGACCTGACGCTTTAAATCGTACAATGTTTCTTGTAATCCCTTTTTAATATTAAACACCTTGACAGTTTTTTAAAGTTCACTATTTGCAGATAAGGCAAGCAAACAATTTATAAGTTTAAAAAGTGTGACTTAAATGTCGCATAGTATTTTTCATAAATTTTAATATTTTAAGGATTCTTAACAATATTGATGTTTTTAATTTCATCATAGTTTTAAAACATACATAATGATTATGTACAATAGGATTTTAAAAGGCGTTCGCCTTGTGTTTGGGCACAAAGCTGAAGCCATCTGGCACCGGACCCAGCAACGATTCGCTGAGCTTCACCCAGTCCGCGGAGTTGCCGGAACTCAGGAGGGTTTCCATTTCGTCGCGTCCCCGGTATTTCTGCGGCCGAGCGTTGATCTTTTGAGGGGGAGCCGTCTGCAGGGCTTCGGGTATGTAGCGGTACAGGAAGGACTGCCACTCGAGGAGGAAGCGTCGCGTGGTCTCCACACCCTTGGTGTCCGAGCCCCAGTGTTCCAGGCCATAGTTGCAGAACTTTTGCAACATCTCATAGCGCTGTGCCGAAGAAGGAGACCAGGCCTGCTTCTCCTTGATCTCCTGGAATATCCAGGGTTTTATTAGCGCTCCGCGTCCAATCATCACGGAGCTGACGTGAGGTGCCAGCGTTCTTCGCTCCACATAGTCCTCGTAGCTGAGAATATCCCCGTTTCCGATCACCGGCATCCGCTTGGCCTTGGCGGCACACTCCTCGATGTAGGACCAATTGGCGTGCTTGGTGTAGCGCTGCTCCCTGGACCGCCCGTGCAGGGTCACCGCCGAGGCGCCCCATTCCTCGACAAGTGGCAGGAGCTCGTGCGCCACACTCTTGTCCGCATAGATGCCGGTGCGCATCTTCACGGTGAACGGCAGGCGATCGGATAACGCAGCACAGCTGCGCACGGTCAGCTCCAAGATGTTGGTTCGTCGCATCAGGGCGCTGCCTCCGCCCTGCTGGTAGATCAGATCTATGGGGCAACCGATATTGAGATCGATGAAATCGACCTGGGCCGTCTCGTGAATAACCTGCGCCGCCTGGTTAATCATATTGGGATTATTTCCGCACAGCTGCACACCGAAGACATCCTCGCTCTGGTGGCGCTTGGTCAGAGCCCACTCCTGACCCATGCCCTTCAGCAGGGGCTGGGCACAGGCCATCTCGCCACAGGTGATATCCGCACCGAACTCCTTGCAGATCCGCCGGAAGGGCAAGTTGCCCAACGTGGTCAGCGGTGACAGCACGAGTTTCTCGCGAAAATCAACGGCTGGCTTTTGATTAGCATCTCTGCCGACTGGTGAATCATCAATTGCACATCCAGTGGGTGTTTCACTTGCTACTATTGGGCCATCCTGTGCGACAGGTTCCTTGGAATCCGTATCCGTCTGTTGTTCCGTCTCCATTTTATCGCTGGTCTCATTAGGTTGCTTCTCCTCCTGTTTTGCGTCCTTCTCCTTTTGCTCTTTTTGCTTTCGAGCATCTCGTAGCTTCTCTGCCATTTTAATGAGCTCCTTGCTGCGACTAAAATCATATTCATGCTTTCGCAGGCGCACCTGAAGTTCTAAGAAACAAATAATGCATTAAGTTAGAGATGCTTATCATAGGCATAGTTCTTTGGGTATCTTACCTGAACTAACGCCATTGAATGTGGTTGGAGGAGCCTTCTCGTCGTAGTCCTCCCTTTTGAGGTTCCTGCCCTGGTCATCCGTGTGCGCCTTGGCGAACCGACAACTCACTCCGCGGGCACAATATCCCTTGGTGGTGTACACATAGCACTCGGCACCCAGATCCTCGCCCTTGGCGGCCAGAAAAGCATCCAGATCGTGAACATAGCGACAGTTGGCCAGGGAACACGGTTCTCCACCGGTTCCATCGATCAGCGAGTGACACAGATGCGAATAGCGTTCGTCCTTGAAAACTGGTCGATTCTGTGGGTTAAAACTTATTATTAATATGTCAAAATAGCAAATATTATTAACTTACCTTGTTCTGTCCACGCTTGCGCTCCTTTTTGTCCCATTTCTTTTTTCCGCCGGCTTCAGATTCGCCATCCTCGCGTTTTCTTTTGTTGGTCTCGCCGTTTTCGGTGTTAAATGCATCACTGCTACTATTGGGCTCAGTCACCAGATATCTGCAGGATATATAAAATAAGTTTACATACCAATAATAACGAAATAAGGGTACATACTCTGGTTTTATATAGCAAATACCCGGTTCCATTTCACAATAAACAATCGCACGTGTTGGTCTGCGTCTGCTTCTTCTTCGTCTTTGTTTTCATCAATCAGCTGGCGCAAGTGGTATGAACGATAAAACGGAGGAGTCATCGATAGTTTTAAAGTCACTGGACGCGTTCAGCATGAATTCCGTTTTCGTTCCAAAATTAAACATGTGAAATTGTAAAATAAATAAGTAAGAAGCTATGAACAACTAAAAAAGTACATATTTTTTTTCATTATTTACATTTATACATTGTTATACTCAGTTTGTATGTACTAACGAATGTTGTCGGCTTTCGCAGTGGTAACATAAAATGAATCGATATATTTACCTTTATGGTCACCGTGAACCAGTCACTGTTAGTTCGAGCGCTCATCACTGTTGTATAATGCCGCCGTGCGATGGTGCAGCTGTTTAAATTCTTGTTAAAATCCAGCAAATCTGTAAGAATAGAATACATCTAGAAATCTAGTTCAAAAATAGGATACTAATTTTTGTCCAATGTTCAGCCCGGTCGTGCCCACTTCCGGCCCAGCTTCCTGGACACTCTGCGTCTGGCGGTTCGCGGCGGACATGGTGGCAATGGGTTGCCGAAGTACGGAGGAGTCGGTGGACAAGGCGGCTGCGTCTACTTGGTGGCCAAGGAAGGTCTGACCCTCAGGAAGGTCGCACAGGGATTGAAGGACAAGCGGGTGGCTGCCTCCAGCGGCGAGGACAGCAGCAAGGCTAGCATCTTCGGACGCCGTGGTGTCGATCAGAGGATCGAGGTGCCGGTGGGTGTCCAGGTGTACGACGACCGGCAGAAACTCATCGCCGATCTGGACGAGAACGAGGCCACCTGCATTGTGGCGGGCGGAGGCACTGGCGGATGCACGGCCACCAACTTCCTGGGGCGTCCCGGTGAGAATCGCACTGTGAATCTGGACCTGAAGCTCATAGCGGACGTGGGCCTAGTGGGATTCCCCAATGCGGGCAAGAGCACACTACTCAAGGCCGTGTCCAATGCCAAGCCCAAGATTGCGGCTTATCCCTGTGAGTGCTGATTCATAGATATTTGTGCATATTAATGTCATCTTACGATTTACTTTAGTTACCACCATCCGGCCCCAGATTGGAACCATCGAGTATAGCGATCTGCGCTCCATCACCGTGGCCGATCTTCCCGGTCTCATCGAGGGAGCTCATGCCAACTTCGGCATGGGCCACAAATTCCTCAAGCACATCGAACGCACCCGCCTGCTAGTCTTCATGGTGGATATATTCGGCTTCCAGTTGAGTCCCCGGCATCCGCATCGCGATTGTGTAGCCAACATATATGCGCTAAACAAGGAATTGGAGCTCTACGATCCAGCGCTGCTGGAGAAGCCCAGTGTCCTGCTGCTGAACAAAATGGATCGGGAGGGTGCCCACGAGATCCTAACCAAAGTCAAGCCGGTGATTAGTGACCTCGGAAGTGGATTGGCACAATGTCCCGAGGAACTGCGTCCAAAACAGGTCTTGAAGTTCGAGAGTATTGTGCCGATATCGGCCATAAACTCCACAAAGATCATCCAAGTGAAGTCGCAGCTGAGGCGAACGCTGGTGCGATTGGCTGAGAAACAGTTTCTGGCGGATGAGGTGCAGATCAAGGATCAGCTGAGACAGCGTGTGGGCCTGGTGGGTCCCAAAATTACCTAGTTCTAAGTGTAAATAAATTTGTTTATGTTTAATTGTGTTCGATATGAAGAAATTAAGATTTAAAGTGAACTTCAAAATGTTTTTGTAATTATTTCAGGTAATGGTTTATTGAAGTATATTTTATTAAATGACTTGGTATTAGCCAGTGTTCTTACACTTTTTTTAACAAAGTCGTTTTCAAGTTTTTTTTTTTTATAAAATGGTTGATAAAGGCTAGTTACAAACGAAAGTCATTTGTTCTATCAATAAATAAATATGGAAATAAATGTTTAAAGAAAACAAAAACAATGTCCTCACCTTTTTATTTACAAAATTAACTTTTGAGCAAAAGTTGAACGATATGTATTTTAAATTTAAGTCCTATAGAACTCCTTTTTAAATAGGTATCCTTTAAAATTTTAAAAATGTAACGAAAGCTCCTCTTTCGATAGTAAAGCTCCCTTATCGATATCACCGCCAGTTGTGGTATCGATAACCGGGCTAGCCCCATCGCTATGTGCGCTCCACAAACAATTTGTTGTTGTGTGTCGCTGGACGTTTCGTTCGTCGCGCGCTCGGTTGCCAAAAAATCGCGAAAAATGGTCAAAATCCAACGCCCGCCCAGAGCCATCAAGATTAGCAATTGCAGAGCAGTTGCAGAGTGCCATGTGTGAAGTGCATCCGCAGTTGTAAAATGCCAATGCCAAAGGACAATAGCAACAATGCCAGTTCGATACATACACACAGACGAGGGCCGATGAAAAACTGGTATATAAAAGACGCCAAAAGCTTGCGAAAAAGAGAGCAAACGCGCCCCTAACTTGGCTGCAGGATATCCAAGAAAAAGCGTCACAAAAACAGGCGACAGCCGTTCGGAGGGACAGGATAAACAAGCAACAAACCGTCCGCGATGTCACAACAACACCACCCCCATCACGCCCATCCCCACTACCACCACTACCCGCCCCCTGCGACGCCCATGTCCCTGCAGCAGCAGCAGCAGCTGCCGCAACAGCAGCAGCAGCAGTCGCAACAGCAGCCGCAACAGCAGCAGCACGCCAATTGGTACTCACATGTTGCTTCCTACCCCACACACCATTCGGCCTTCGCCACCGCCCATCCCACCCCCTGCAAGGCCGCCACCAACAACAACATCCTCATGGGTGCTGGCTATGGTGGATCAGGGGTGCCGGGGGGTGTTGTTAGTGGTGGCACGCAGGGGTATTATGGCGCCGCTGGCGGTGGCCTCAATGTCAGTGGGGCGGCGGTGGGCGTGGGTGTGGGTGGTGGCCCAAGCTACGGCCTTGGGGCCAACACAGTGGCATATGCCCACAACCAACTGCTGCAGTACCAACAGCAACAACAACAACAACAACAGCAGCAGCAGCAACAACAACAGCAGCAGCAGCAACAACAACATCAACAACTTCCGCAGCATCTAAACCCGCAGCGGTCCTATATGGGCCACGATATCATGACCGGCAGCTACCCTTATATCAAAAGCGAACCTCTGGAGGCCTTCCAGCAGCCGCCCAATCCCATGGCCCCGCCCCCAGCGCCAGAAATATTAATAAAATGTGAGTTATAAATTATTATAAATATAAATTGAATACCTAATACACACCATAACTGAATAATTTAATTAGAAACAGTAGCACTCCCTTTAAAAAGTCAGGAAAATAATGAGTTTTTCTTGTGTATACTTTTTAATGATACCTACAGGAAATGTATAGAGATGACAATAAATTGTATAATAATAAATGTAATTAATTGGAATATTTACCATTAAGTATATAGGCAAATTAATTTTCCATGATACGAACGCAATTACTTAACTATACCTATGATAATCCGTTAAATTACGTTAAGAAATTACAAATCTCTTTAAAATAAGGTAGGGCAGTTCCGAAAACTTAAGCGCAAAATCCATTTTCGCCATTGAAACAGATACAAACTTACTTGGGGCCATTTTTCCTATAAGTAGCGTAATTTCATCTCCGTTTTGGCGTCGAATCAATAAAACGTTTGTTGAGTTTCGCTGAGGTTTGGCGTTTGTTTCGTTCGGTTGGTTTTCGGATTGGGGGATTCGGATTCGGTTTCGGATTCGGATTCGGTTCTGTTGCTCGTCTTGCTCGTCAACCTACGGCTCTGTATCTCTATCTCTGCCCCCCGTTCGGTTCGGTTCCGTACCGGACAATTGTGTTCTGTTCTCTCGGTACGTTTGCCTGTCTATATGTACATACGTATGTATCCATTTAGCAAATGTATACTCGGATAGATGCTTTATACTACCGGCGTAACCTATTCAGTTCAGTTCAGTTCAGTTCGATTCGATTCGTACGCACACACATACATATGTACATATAACCCAAACCCAATAAGTGTGCATATCATCTCCCTCTTTCGGTTTTCGGAATGGGTTGTTGTTGTTATTGGGGTTGTGGGGCACGAAATGGGGACTGTCTTCCAAGTCGCATCTTATGTAACGTGCTCCCATAGACTAACCTAAAAATTATTGGTTCCGCCCCGAACTCCCGGCACTGTCAATTTAATGGGCGTGTAGGTGGGGCGGAATCAAGAGAGTATATCAAATATTATTAGGTACGCATAAAATACATAGTAATGATATTACTATAATTGATATATTTGCTTTTAATTTGAAAATATATATATACAAGTCTCTTATCTATTGTTTTTAAAAGTATTTTTATTTAGTTCAAATGTTGAAAGGCCAAGTTGGTAGGCCATAAATAATGTAAACGGAATAAATATCTGTCTGTCTGCAGAGCACTCTGTTTATTATCTATCAATTTTGTGTAGGCACAATGCATTCTTATCAACCGCCAAAGGGGAGTTCAAAATACAATTCGAAACCATAGAAACAAACAATGGGTACAGAATTTTTCATCTGCGCAGAGTTTTCCGGAACAGTTAATTTTATATTTGTGTAAGACAAGGTAGACCAAAATTATATAATCAAGTAATTATTATAAATAAGAGAACTACAGTTACAATTAATACAAATATTATGTTTATAAATCAATTCTTAGCTCTTTTATTTCGAAAGAGTTTGAAATTACTGTTTGTAGAATTCTTTTCTGTCGATTTTTAACCTTATAGAAATTACTCGTGCAATAAACAACTAAATATTTATTTTTACAGCGGAACCCATTGATGAACATTCCTACAAGTCCAACTATATAGACGACAATACGCCCTTTGCCGACTTTAGCAAGTTCAGCGAATTCAGCGAGGACATGCTGAGTCCCAAGGTGGAGTTGACCGTCAAGGATGAGTCCTACGGAAGGGTAAGTGTTTAGATTTACTTGGCAAACAAACCAACTCATGACCATATCTCCATTTCAGAATTCCAACAGCTTTCTGCGCCGGAAACAGCAGTTGGATCGCAGCGCCGAAAGTC